GACTTAGACATGAACTGGGAGGTCATCGGACATACCGTGAAGGTATTGGGCTCCAGGCCGGGTGTAGACCATTTGGAAGAAGTCGTTGCCGACTTCTTCGGCAAAACACGACCGAGGGGGAAACAGGAAGTGGCACGTATCATGTCTGATCCAGTTTGCTGCTTATGTCGAGATTGCCTGCCTGTGTACTGTGAGTGTGCACACCTAAGGCAAGTTCTGTAGAGTACAAGCATGGCGCATCCGCAACCTGGTTACAATGCTTGTCCGGATCATCAAGCTTCCTCATCGACCTTCGGAGGAAGGGATCCGGAATATTTACCAGATGCTCGACATCCCCATCCCACCAGGAAACTTGCCCAAATTTGCACAAGCTGCATGGACACAGGAAATTTGTATGAACAGGGAAAGCCCCACGCAATCGAGGTCGGTCATCGGATTCCTTGGGGAGTCACTGCGAAGCTGGAGATGATGCAGAGGATGAGGTCGGGTTTACCCATACATTATAAGCTAAGAAATACCCCTGTCAGGAGCAGTGTAAGTAGTGCAGTCTGTCAGGACTTGTTGGCGGAAGAGGCTGGAGAGTCGGAAAGGGCTACAGATGATGAGATTGACGAGGATTTGTTGTGCCCAGAAGCTCCTTCCGAAGGATTGCCCAAGAGAGCCCCGACTGTGAATGTAGGAAGGTTGCAGCATGATTGTGTCGAGAGGTTTCGAGCATGTTGTGGCAGTTTTCATGTCAGCCCAGGTGCTGGAGCAGTCGAGCACTCACCGTGCTTGGTCGAGACCCCGAGCCCTCGTGTGCCACCAAGTCAATCACCCGCCTCCGAAGCGAAGAACACCCCCCCACAGAGCAAGCAGCAGATCTTACAGCATTTGGAGCAGTGCCAGAAGACTCTTCAAGCTTTGCTGGAAGCCAAGCAGCAGCGACAAGCAGGGAAGCAGGAGCTGCAGATGCTAAGCCGAATCTTGTTTGCGATAGTGTTAGCTCGGCTTGTGTGAACCATAAATTTCGTGCTAGTCTAGTAGTGCATACTGCATCTGAGGTAATGTGGAAACTCAAGACACGCTCCCCATGGAGCCAGCTGCAATCGACGAAGCAGTGGAAGTAGCTAAGGAACAGATATTGAAAGCTGAACGTCTTCAGTTGCGGTCGGCTTCAGACCGAAAGCGCAAAGACCTTGATGGGTCCTGCGCCTGGATGCGGAAGGGCGGTGAGAGTGATGTCGACAAAACAGGGATGGGTGGGTGTGCTACCGGGGTGGCGGTATCGGAGCAGCCAGCTCATGACGCAAGCCACAAACATGCCGAGACCCATCCCATAAAAGCCATCAAGAAAGAACCGCCGTCCGTGCCCATCAAGAGAGAGCCGCAAGAGTCACAAGAGGCGCCCCCCAAGGAGAAAGAACTGCCAGCCATGCCCATCAAGAGAGAGCCACAAGAGTCACAAGTGGTGCCCCGCAACGAGAAAGAACTGCCAGCCATGCCCATCAAGAAAGAGCCACAAGAGGAGCCCATGAAGCCAGAGCATAAGGAGCCGCAGAAGAAGATGCATGATGATGCCGATGCTTCTATGGACCCCAAGCAGGTGAAGCCTGCTGCTTTGACCCCGGAGCCCAATGCCGGGAAGCAGGCAGCCCTTGTTCCAAGTGACCCCCCGCCAGCAAAACCATCTTTGTTGCAGAATGCGCTTGTGTTGTCACCCGCTGAGCAGAAGAAAATGGCCAATGCAACAGCCAAATCCAAATATGCACCTGGGAGTAAGAAAAAAAAGGCTGATGCAGATGAGGACGCAGAGGAAGAGCAGGAGAAGCAGGCACAGGTAAAGCGCAAGCCAGGGCGCCCAAAAGGGAAAGCAGCACCGAAGACACCAAGTTCCCCGAAGGCGAAGGCGTCGCCCAAAAAAGCGGCAGCAACAGAGGCAGTGAAGCAGACACAGCAGCCCCCAAGGCCAAAGCAAAGTGCAAAGCAGCCGCCAAAGCCAAAGCAAAGTGTAAAGCAGCCGCCAAGGCCAAAGCGAAGTGCAAAGCAGCCGCCAAAGCCAAAGCAAAGTGTAAAGCAGCCGCCAAGGTGAAAGCAAAGGCCAAAGCCAAGTGTTCCGCAGGAGACAACGAGGATCCCAGCCCCAGCCAGCGTACGCAGTTCTATGAATGTGACAATGATAAGCCCAAGAGAAGGACGAAGCAGGTGGAGAGCGAGGCCGAGAGAGAGAGAAAGGCAAAAAAATCACGAAAGTCTTGCGCCTACCACCGGGTACAGCTGGAAAAGCTGAGCGAGGGCTACGATGAAGAGGAAGCAAATATGTTTGCTCGCGAAGCTTCTAGCCAGCACCCATGTATCCACGCATGCATGTGTGTTGTGTGTTGTGTGTTTGTGTGGGGGATTCCTCTCTCTAACACGCATGTGCGGATACAACTTGTGAACTCATCATGAGGCTTACAAGGAGCAACAGTGATGTTCCTATGTCCGGCGACCGTTCTCGATGAAGCTGATGGCTTCACACCGGGGATTTCTGTGGCTGCCACTATGCTGTCAGCCCATTTTGCTCTGGCTATTTTGCCATGGGAGAGCTTACTTAGAAGGGGTATTGTGGGCCAACCCAAGGCAAAGCCTACGTTCGACAGATTTGGATGGCTGTATCCGAAGAAAATAATCATCGGTGCACGCTATAATGCCCGTGACTCTCTCTTATCCCCTATCTTGATCTATGCATAGCTGTCTCGGCCAGGTCTTCATGAAGATCGATGCCATCTACGTGTGTGGCCCTTTGGCCGTCCAGGCCAATCTGCAATCCTAACTCCATGTGCACGAACCCGAGTTATACATGAACCCTCGAAGCCCGCAACCCCAAACCACTAAAATAGCGCCCTCAGATTTACGTACTTCCTCGTGAATTGGATTCATACCTTCTGCTATCGAAAATTACCTGCTGTGTTTGTGCACCCTCGATCTACTGTGCCTCCTCTTGCACGCTTGATAGGTGCAGCCCCGGGTAGCCGTCGACCAGACCAGTGACCTGCAGGCAGGCGATTCACGCGGTTTGTCATTGGAGAGACTTCAGTATGGGAAGCATCAAATCGACTTTCCCTGCGTACTCTCAGTGATCACCCTCGCAGCGTGACTCGTCAGGCCAATGGCGTGGGCCCGACGTGCTGCTGAAGCCGGTCCGCCCTCCCTATTCCACCTCTCTCCCGGCTTTGCGACTTGAGGCTAGTTGATAGAAGCATGTGGCTGCCACTCTGGGGAAAGGCTCACTTGTGATGTAGAGCAAGACAATTGTTTAGGGCTTATCATAAATAGGGTTTATAAGGGAGTGTTTAGGGAATTCATTTATGCGACATGTTTCCTTCTGCAGCTGCTGATCCTTAGGGAACTCCTTTATGTGATATGTTTCATTCTACAGATGCTGATCCTGCAGACTATAGTAATTAGACTAGGATACCATGGTGCTGTGTCCGGAATCCTCATGGCTTGTTCGCCTCGTACATGTTGGAGCCCCGAAAGCTTCTTGCTTGCAGTGGTCATGGATGCGCAAAGTCGAGAGGCACAAATTGTTGTGATCATGTGTAACCTACAGCGAAGTGAGGTTCTGGTGGCAATTGTTCTGCTGTTGGGCTGGAGCTCGCAGCTCCCGTCCTGCAAGAAGTTTGATCTGCTGGATCTTTTCGCAGGTCAAGCTAATGCTTCTGCCCATTGGTGTCTCGCTTTGAATAGAGAGCTCCCAGCTACCCAGCTTGCTTCGTGTGCGTGTCGAGCCACAAACCTGAAATTACCCATCCCTCCAAGGCGATCAAAGGGCCACACAGTTGGCACCATAGACATCCAGCGAGGGGCCTGTATGAACTTTAACACGGATGCCGGCTTTGCGCAGCTTGGTCCACCTTTCCCGAAGCGGGGTTTGTGCTTCTTTTTCGTTTGCTAGCAAAGCGCCTGCCTGCTAGCTTAGGCTGGTCTTATGGATCATCATGAACGAGAAACCCCTGGCGGTGAATCTGATGGGCCCGCAGTGTTCCTCCTGGGGCCTGCCTAATCGTGGCACCTCTATGCGAAACTACATTCATTTCCGGGGCATGGAACAGCACGAGTACATCGCTGAAGCGAACAAGTTGATCAGTAGGTATTCCGGCTAAACATCGGCGGTCTATGTGTCCTGGGTTGGTCGGTTCCCGGGGCCTAGCTAGGCTAGATCTAGATGAACCCAATCCCGGACATGGTCCAGCATGAGCCAAGGGTGGTATTGGCCATCTTAGTGATGACTGCCGGCTTCACCTTCTGGATTTTGGAGCACCCAGCAACAAGCCTCATCACCCGCCATGAAAGGTTTGAATGGCTCACCAACTCCGTACTCTATGCTGCTAGCTCGACACAATACACTTTCTAGATCAGGTGTACTTGTATATTTTGGTTTTGTTTAATATATATATATATACAGATATAGTCCTGACCATATAAAGGTAATTGTCATGCCACTATGTGCAGCCGAGGTCTATCGCCAAAGCTTCTGGTTGATGCATTGGGGTGGAACGACCCCCAAGAGAACAACCCTGTTCTCGAATTCACCTGATGTAAAGGAGCTAGATCGGGGTGTGTTGTCTCAGAAGAAACGAAGCTCACAGCCCTGTGTCAAAACTTCTCGATGCTCCGCTGCATGTACAGAGATGATGGCGGATTGGTTCCACCCATGTCTGAAGAGAGGCTTCGCTTTTCGCAACTAAGGAAGATACATCCACGACAAAACCGGCTTGAAGTGCTACAACGGCAATTCGAATCTCAAGGATGCCGGGATCCTTGGATACAACATATCCATTTAAAACCTAACTGAATCTGTGCCTGAAATCCGAAAAGCACCGAAATCCCCAGGATCAACCAAACCCTGAACCTCAATCCCTCTCGCCTAAGCCCAAGCCCTAAACCCCCAACCCCAAGCAGCTGCAAGCCCTAGCAGGGCTGCTGATGTCCGCATGACTATGTTTAGATCTTTAATACAAAACCGGTTTGAACCTGGAAGCCCTCAAGCAATGAGAAGCTGGCTTCACATTCCCGAATGAACCACAGCTTGCATTCCGTTAAAAGCCCCAAACCTTATAGAAACCTCTATGAGCGCTGCAAAGCTGACATCGTATTCCCTAATGAACCACGTCTACTACAAAACAAAGGACCAGAGCGTAACCCAATTGCCGAGGGCAACTGATGTGATATTCCCCGACTGAGCCACAACTTGTTTGCAGAACCCCAAAATCCCCAAGTTCGGCAAAAGAGCCAATGCTTGCGAATTATGTAAGAACTCCAAAACATTTTCGCGACCCAGATGCCCTGGAAAGCTGACTACATATTCCCGGATGAACCACAGCCCGTTTAATTATATGTCTAATTCTGCTCAGGACATATCCAATGGGTTTCGTGCAGAAGATCTACAATGTCTTTGTGGGCCAGGCCTCTTTCCCGAAGTGCTTGAGGAACAAGGAGGTCGTGAACAATCTCCTGTCAGATCAGGAAATCTTTGCTAGAATGCCCCTCGGGGATTGTTGGGAGGATGCATCGGTTGCCTCGGTGTACTTTTACCTTCGGAACGGGAAGCACCTGGTAATCCCCGACACCTGGATGAATACCATCGAAGCCTTCGACGCAGCACTCAATGAGAGGGTCTTTTGCTTGACTCCTTTACACTTTGTCCTTTTGGAATCATATATTCGAGTAGTGTCTAAAAGGCTCCGGTGGGTTTGTCTTTAGGGCGCTTTTCTTTAAGGAGCCGGGAGTATAGTTGGGAAACCGATGTTTCATGTTTGCCTAGGTAAACTGCTTCCAAGACCTCCGGGACGAGTACAACTCCTTGTGCGAGCAGAAGTAAGATCTGCCCTACTTTCATGTAGGGGCTGAGCGGCTTGGGGTCTCCCGTAGTGGGACCTATAGATATTCAGGTGTATACGGTGTGTGTACGTATGTATGTTTGCACTTATACAGTGTTTGTAGGGGTAAGACACACACACACATATATATATAAGTGTTTTATATCTGTCTATTATATATATATATAGATGGGGTTAGCAGGTATGTGTGTGTGTGAATTTATGCATGCATGCTAGTATGTATGCATGTATGCATGTATGTATGCATGTATGCATGTATGTATGTATGTATGTATGTAGGTATGTAGGTATGTATGTATGTTTGCATGTATGTATGTATGTATGTATGTATGTATGTGTGTATGTATGTATGTATGTATGTATGTATGTATGTATGTAAGTATGTATGTATGTAGGTATGTATGTATGTAGGCATCTAGTTCTTAATATACCTGGGAACCATTATATCCTCATACAATAATCAACCAGTAAAGATTGATACATAACCAAGATGAGGAGCTACAATCATGATGTTCGGTCGATGTAAACCAGGCAAGACCAATAGAGTCTGTCCTGGGCCCAGGTACCAGCATCGCCCAAGCCTGGCATCAGTGAAAAGCCGATGTAATACATTCTTTTGGGACGTGTTCTTTGCAAGACAAAGCCTTCTTGATTTCGGGTATCAGTTCGGGAAGCTGCTGGAGTTTGAGACCACTACCCCAACCCCTACCCCGACCCCTCAAGCCCCAATTCCCTGATGCTCATGATGTGCCTCCCCCCCCCCCCTTCCCCCCCTCCCCCCACCTTCCTTTTCAACTCCAACGCCGGGCACGCAGTGTTGGAGTTCCCCCCTCCACCCCAAAAACACACGAGAAACGAACATTATGAGCATCAGCCGGGTGGGGGGGAGGGAGGGGGGGGGGATGGGGTTCTGGGCCCTTTTCGTGGTGGTCTTGCCCCGCACCAGGAAGGAGAGGGAGGGGGAGGAGGGGAGGGGAGGGGAAGTGAAAGGAGAGGAGGAAGGTTTTCTTAGGAGGTGCGAGAGGCCGGCTGAAGTCACGAATGTTTTTTCCGTTCACGAATGTTTTTTTCGTTTGCACTGTTGGGCGGGCACCGGGCGGGGCGCAACACGCACGCAATTTCGCGCAACACGCGCGCAATTTCCCGCAACACGCATGCAATTTGAAAATCCATGTGTTGGGGTATTGGACACGTATGGATTTTTTTTCGACGCATGTTTTTTCGGTTGCAAGCTGTGATTCTGAAGCCTGGGCTGGTGCCTATAGCTCTAGCTGTGTGTAATTAACCGTGGCTGGATTGCTGTGCCGAAGCAGTCGGTGCAAGGCCCGCCAAGGTGCGATGAGCCTAGAGACGCTCAACCAGGGTGTTGGCATGGTCGCTAGATCCTGGAGTGATTTGTCAAAGACAGATGATTCCGAGCTAGATGCTCAGATTCTGGTCTCTTGCCCGCAGCAGACTGATCTTTCGTACAGTTTAATCTAAGCAATGCTTCGATTTCCCTAGACGGGTCGGTGTGTCGGTTGTGTTGATACAGTTGAGCAAGCCTCAAAATGCCGTTCTTAGCAAGGCTGCACAGCAGAACATTCAGCTCCTGCAGCAAGCCCTGGCCGAGACCAAAGCAACTCCGATTCCTGCCCTGGTTCCAGGCTGGAGACTTATAATAGTTTAATAGGCTTCCCCTAGACAACCACAACACCTCCGCAGGTGCCCCGACAACAGCGACAGGCAGTGGTGGTCACGTACCTGGAAATGCTGCCTGCTCCTTAAGCCAGGCTCGCAAAGAACCACCCAAGAGCCCCACCGACAAGCCGACCCCCCCCGAGAAGCCAACCCTGACCGAGATACCAACCCCGACCGAGAGGCCAACCCCGACCCCGACTGAAAGGGCATCCACCCCCAGCCCCAAGAATGTCCATCGATCCCACACTCTGAATATGTTGGCCCAGTCCTCCAAAATATTCCCAGACACTATGGATTTGGTGACCCCGAGCCCCAAACTTGGGAAAGCTGCAGCCAGCTTGCAAAAATCGAGGGCCAGGACACGCAGCCCTGCTGTTCGACAGCTGTTTCCAACCAAACCCCGTGGTCGATCCCAAGCCTCGCAAGAACCCAAGCCACCCGGATACTGGAAGCGCCTTCGTTTAAAACAAGTCCTGTGTGTCTGTCGTTCTATCAGTGCGCGAGCCGAGGGTACGACGCTTCTTCGAGCCCAATTCCAAGGGTGAGGTCAAGGCCACGCCACACATCTTGGATATGGGGAAAACATCGGAGGGCCGAAACTTGGCTTGGCTCTGAAAGAAGCCTTGATGAAAAGTTTGCTCTTCGAACCATGAGGCGAAAACTTGCGAAAGATGCTCTTGGAACATGGCAGCTTTGAGAAGATCGAGGGCCAGCTCCAACGGTGGCATGAACAGAAGACGAAAAAACAGCAGGAGGGTGGCAGTGTCACCAAGTACTATCTGATGAAGGAGAAGCATTACACTCAGTGTCCCACAAGCACTTCAGGCATTGTGTTTAGTAGTACCGATACTACATCAACAATCCATCATCCAAGAGATGGCCAACATGAAACAAAAAAGTGTTACCATCGCCAAAGTAGCCCGACTTGATTCGTAGGGGGATAGGAGTATAGGTCTTTGCATACCTATATATATATATGTGTGTATATGTGTAGATGTCTATGTTTTTACACACACACACTTGGATACAGTTATACGTGCATCAAAAAATAAGTGTATGTATATCGGTATATATATATACAGATAAATAAACTCATACATACATACCTACCTACATATGTACATGCTGCTTTCCTCCCCTCCCCTCACCTCCCACTCCTGTGGTCCCATCATCTGCTTTAATGAACAATTCGCCCATCCCCTGCAATCATTGCTTCAATTGGCCCTGGTGCCTAATTCGATGGCTGATTCGCCCCTTAGACAGCATGAGTCCTATATGGCATTGTACATACATATATGTCCCTACATGCACACCTACATGTAGCTACATACCTACCCACATGCATCAATATTGGACAAACGGCATTCACTCCCCTGCCTTCCCCCAGGCAGATGGCTGATAATGCCTTCGAGTGGGCCCGGGCGCGGGGGCTCGTATGGAAGAACGAAATCCATGGAACGGAGGAGGCTGACATTCCGCTTGACATGCGATGGTCTAAAACGAATGAGAGTGGTTCTCGAGTGCAGTTCGAAGGCGGATTCACCCTGGATGTGCCTTCGCTATGAATATCTAAGGAAGCCCAGCTGCTATGTAACTATTTCAATCTAGCCCAACATGTTCAACCCAGGATCCGAACGGTGCCCTTTTGGAGGCTGGCAACGAGGGGCTTGGGATGGAGCCGGCTTCTGGAAGCAATGCCGGGGCAGATGCGGAAGCCACGGCTCAAGCCGGTGCTTCGTTCAAGCTACCCGAATAAATTGGCAAGCCTAACCCTCCGCCCACTAAGCATACACTTTATTTGTATATTTGTGTATGTATGTATGTATGTATGTATGTATGTATGTAACATGCATGTATGTATGTGTCTGGATGTATGTATATATATATATGCCCGTATGTTTGTCGCTCTGTCTGTCCCTATCTATGCATGTTTGTATTTGTGTATTTGTGTATGTATGTATATATGTGTGCATGTATGCATGTCGGTATCTACCTATGTGTGTATGTGTTTATGTATATGTGTATGTATGCACGTTTGCTTGTATTTGTACATTTGTGGATGTATGTATGTATGTATGCATGTATGTATATGTATGTGCATGTGTATGTATATGTATATGTATATGTACATCTATATGTTTGTGTGTATGTATGTAGTGTATGCATGTGTGTTAGTATGTCTGTTTGCCAGTGTATCTGTCAAGGTTGTGTTTTCCATCGCTTCAACAGAACGCCTCGCCACTTACCCTGATCCCCGGCTACTTGAGTGTTCTGGGCAAGAAGATCGAAAAGGCCGAATCGGTGAAGGACTCTTTCTGGTTGCTGCATTAGCCATAAAGCGCCCTGTCCCTATCAAACCCGATAAGCCCGAAACTTATATAAACCTCAGATAAACCCTAAACTAAACCCCATGCAAACCGATGTAAACCCTAAACCTATTGAAGGAAAAGCTGGAAGATGCAGCTGGGAAGCAGGGCAAAAAGGGCACACCGCGGCTTATCTCAAGACTTGAAAGCTCATTTTGGTAGACCTTTCTCCGAAGCGAACCCATCCGAAGCTCACTCTGAGGTTGCTGGACAGTGTGATCAAATGCTTGAAGGATCTGAATACCCACTATGATGACCTTGTCAAAATCCAGGTCACGGCTGCCACGGCATCGGACCAAGGTAAAATCAAGTCGTCTCCTGTCCTGCATCAGATGTTGACTGGACCATGCATGCATGTCGGTGTTCTACTTTCCAATATGTCGATAGTCGATGTTGTCTAAAGCTGTTCATTAGGCTCAAGGAGGAATGTTTGGAGGCCTTTGTGGCTTGCACAAAGACAGATTTGGCACTCAATAACTGGGTGGTCAGGTCGAAGCGATTGGGCTGCATCTATAGATGTCAGGAGTGGTTGTTCGCCTGCTTGGCTGTAGATGCATGCTGTCTGTATATCTGAGGAGCGTGAAGAATACAGTTGCTGCTACTCCGAAAGGAAAGCCGGTAGTGAAAAGAAAGGGATCCCCTACGAAAAAAAAGACATCCCCAAAGGCAAAGTCCAAGAAGAGGGCTCGCAAGTCCAGCTAGATTGCAGCTGGATCCGGCCACAAGTTTTGCAGGATGTACAAGTCTTCACACCTCCTTGTGACTGTCAGTGGCGAGCCGTGAGCCGTGGAAAAGGGGGTGGAATTGCTGCTTATGAAGTTACTCCTTCACTACCCAAGTGTGCAGGCTTGGCAACTACTTAATGACGTTATGCACGCTGATGCCGTCCGCAGGTTATGATGTGGAATGCGCCGATGCTCGCTGGGCCCCCACTGTCCAAAATCCACCCCAGATGTAAGCCCGAGCCTACATACCCAGGTCCTGCTGGAGACGAAGACGAAGATGCGCGAAGCTCCGACAGTTTCGTGGAAGAGCTCCTGATGGGGTTGGCTTCAGGTGTCCCTAGCCGTGCAAGTAGGGTTATATATGTAGGTGTAGTCGGTGTAACTTAATGTCTGGTGTTGGTGCTACTTAGGCAGACTCAGCCACCCGGACATGTCGTCTGGCGAAGAAGGTGCACAACAAGCTCAGAAGAAAAGGCCGTATGTGAGCAAAGAAGCCTGATTAGGTTGCCACTTTCGGGTAGCACAACACATGCAATATTAGGAGTGTCCGCCTTCCTGTTTGTCGTAGTCTAACAGCAATCGTGTTTTGTTTAGAACGGTAGTTGGCTGCTGCTACTACTAACTACTACCAGTAATACGTCTACTAGATGTGCTGCTGCGGTGAAATCTGCTCCTACTGTGGACTGTGGCTGCTACTGCTGCTGCTGAGGCTGGTGCTACTACGACTGCTGCTGATTCTCCTGCCACTCCTACTTATAATACTATACTTCCACTTTTGCGGACTGCTACCGCTGCTACTACTACTGCTGCTGCTTTCACTACTACGGCGACTACTATTATAATATATACTTCTACTGGGACTGTTATTCCCAATACTAGTTCATATAACCCCAGCTACAACAACAAGTACTACTACCACCACTAC